TTCATGAGATGCAACCTGGTCCATAGTGTAAGTAATAAACCTGCACAGAATCGTTCTACGTGAAAACATACTCTGAGGAACTGGCAAGGCTCATGGCCTGCATTCTTGCAGTTGGTGCATGGACCTCCGTTGCCAGTATCGCCACTGCAACGAATCTTCCTCTTTCGACACCGACCACACTGAATCTGTTGTTAGCCCGCTACACAACTATGTAAGTCTCGCACACACACCACACACCAGGTAAGGAAGGGATGGGGGAAGTTTGCACTCACTGCTACCGCGATACGCTTCCTCTGGGGAGTCACATCATCATCCCTCTCGCTCATGATAGTTGTCCTCGTGTCAGGATGAATGGGGTAAGCAGTTCCCCGACGCTCCGGGTATGAGAAGATATTCATGCGGCTCGGCCCATATCGCCGCGGATCTGTCGAGTAACAGTTTTGACTGACCATTGTGCCGGTCCAGTCACGGGTACTCAAGTAGTGAAAACGAAGGACTGGAGTCTGATTTAAGACTCAGAGTGGCTGCCTGACGAACTGGTTCATAGAGATTGACAATCTTCCTTGTTGGGTGATGTCCTATCACAGGAGTAGTCTCAAGAAAGATCCCCCGGCTGTGAAAAGACAAAGTCCAAAGCTTGAAGTCGTTCCCGGACTGCAAGCACTCGTCCGTCGGGAGTCTCGGTAACAAAAGAAGTAAAGTGAACAATGAGTTTGTTGCCGTCGATTTGTTGAACAGTTGAGTGAAAGATTAAGATTACCAGTTCCCGTCAACTTTGGCGTGAAAGGGATTGGAGTTTTGAGGAGGCAGATATCAACAAGACCGGAAGAAACAAGAGATCCAAAGACCAGAAGATCTGCGGCCCATGGCATCCTGATATACTCCGTACCACTCACTGACTTAGACCGCTCCTGGGTATGGCCGTTTGGATAGTGTTTGCCTCGCCCAAGCTCAACGACGACTTCCTCTTCCTACCAATAAACGGCCCTAATCTTTGGCAGCACCGAGTAGATCCACATCAATCAGGGAGTTTGGAATGATCGAGGCACCTCCTCCGGTGCTCTGTGCAATGGGCCACACCTCGTACAACAGATGACATTTGCCCAGAGCCCTCCCTCAACGTCCTCGTCACCTATCAGCACTACGCAAAATTGTCTGGCTGGAGACTACTAGCTATGCGAGAATTGGACGGGTACCAGCAGGTGGCTTGCATGATGGCAGGATTACCATGAGGCAGCGATTCCCTCACTATCATGGCATTGATGGAGCGAATCCAAACGGGCTTCCAACCTAAAATGGCAGCAGCCAGATCTAGTTGATCGGTCTTGGGCTTCCCCAGATCGTACTGTATGAGATGCAGATGGCCTGGACTGCTAGAACCTGAAACGAGCATCCCCACACGGACTGTCTCTATCTGGAGTGGACTGAGTCGTGTTGAAGTCCGAGAAATTGCTCTTCAAGTATACAGTTGAGGGTGCGACTGTACTGCCATGCCATACGACACTTGAAGCGAGACGTCGGCCGATAAGCAAGCCCGTGCAGATCTGACACTGCAACAACCGAGCTAGTCGAAGATCCTAATCCGTTTTGTTTGTCGAACAGCTCCTGTTCCTGTCTTGGGACAATGGAAGCACTCAAGCTGTAGACAAGACGAGATCGTCTTGGCCATATCAGCAAACGGATATTATGTCTGAGGGAGCAAACCCCGCCGAGACACAAAACCTTGACAGACAAGGTCAGGCCTGCAATGGAACCACGAAACCCAGTTGTGAATCTAAACGATTGACTGATCTAGCCTCCGTCAGAACTTGGAGTACAGAGTCATCCTTCGCTTGTCGCGCAACGTACGCTAGTCGTCAAGGAATGCAATTACTTGCTGCTTGTGATCCAGCTGTGTAACGGGCGTGCACCACAGTAATCGACAGGTACTTCGGTATATGAAGCACGCACAGTAGGCTTTCAACCATGATGCTCTGGACCCTGTCCCTTGCAATTGTCTTGTCTGATCTTGTCTTAAACACGGTTCATCTACAATCCATGCCATCGATCAGCAAATCTCGATAGAATCGCAGCCTCTCAGGCCTCTTAACCCGGTAGCTGGGTGGTGGTGGGTCTATAACCCTTGTTGGTGTGTGCGGTAATATCGAAGCCAAGATACTGTTGCAGATACCAATGTTTCGACTACAAACACCTGAAAACGTGGTTGAGAAAGCATCTAATGCTGGTGCCCATGAAAAGAAACTCTTCCCGTCAGTCCAGGGGCGAGACTGAGGCACAAAGTCACCTCACACACCACAACAGCCATCTTAGGCCATTGAAACGCTGTTCGACTTGCTTTTGACGTTGCTCCATGAATTTCCTTTCCTCACGGCGAGGCTTTGCATGTGTAAGATGCAGGATTCTGCTCCAAGCCCCGCTCAAAGTGCAGTATCCTGTGGCCTTCGTTTGCTTGTATGAGGTACTCTGATGCTAAAGATTGGTCCCAACAGAAAAATGAAAGGCAGCACACAAACGGCATAGATAATGATCACAACTTGACGTAAAAAGGTATGCCACCGTGGCGGTGGTTACACAAGAGTACGTCTCCACATTGAGCTGAGTTGTCCGGTGTTAGATCTGCAGAGCCAGCACACAAAGGGTTAATCTCCCATATGCTCAAGAGCCAGCCATATGCAAAAAGCAAGCAGTGCCAGCCAGGACTCTTATCCACATTGGGGACAGGCCGCTAGATGGTGCCTGTCGGTGCGAGTGTAAATATAGTGTCAAGGCCGGAGCCCGTATTGGGGATGCATTGCAGAAGTAAAGCCAACCACTAACCACGTCTAGAAACCATGGAAGCCGATAGACCTCAAGGTCCGATGACTTGCATTTGGAACAAGCTTGAGTCTGCGCCTGCGCATCGAGAACAGATTTCGGTAAAGACGCCACGAGAGACGGACAGATGCTCTTCTACAGGGATTTGCTACCAGTGGCGGAGATCTTGTCCTTGTCGTTCGTGTGGCGCGATGCGATGTCTTGCTTGCATCAGACGCATAGGGCTTCGAGCTGACACCGTCGGGGCTCTTCCAGGGCTGAGGCACGATTCCACATCAGTGGCGCTGTTCGAGTGAATATCCACAAACAATAGAACTGTCTCAAGTAGAGGCAAAGACAAGATCGTTTGTGAGATCTCTCGTCTCCAAGACCATTGATCGAACGAGGCTTGTACGAAGAATCTCAAACAGACGCAGTAACATAGACATCGTTCGATGTCTTCACTTCATTTCATAGCTGAATCAAACAGCCTTTCTTTTGAGTCAGGACGGTTTCAATTGGTTCTGGGGTAAGCCTTCTCAAGTCAAGAAACGCTCGTCTATCGTATCAAGACTCAACCATGCTCAGACTGTATACACAGTACGGCGAGATAACCAGCTTGGTGAAGCAGGCTCGCTTCTTTCCTCTCTCCTCTACGGTTGCTCCACAGTCTGTGAGAAGACAACGCCAATTCTCAAAAGAGAAGACGGTCCGTGATAATACAGCCAGCGCAGTATCCAGGGCGGAAATTTCTTTCAGCAATAACCCGACGAGATGCTGTCGCCCAACTGTCATTTAAGGGTGTGACGCATGAAGCTGCGTCTACCCGCGCTGTGCTTCCACCAATACATACTATTGGTCACTCAGTCAAGGGGTTCACCTAGAAACCTCTCGTGGCCCACTTAAGGACGAGGATAGACTGTTTGATGGCTGACCAAAACTCCGTTCAACTGGGTTTTTATACCCTTGATTGTAGCATGATCTGTAGCGATCCGCAAAACAGTCGCGGGGAAGCTCGATATGAAGATCCGGAGGTTGGATCACATGCAGAGAACAATCTGAAACTCCTTCCTTAGCAGAAACATCACAAGGCCGCTGGGCCTATATTGATTCTATGTCGGCTCCCGTTGGAGACTGAAATCGCAGTCAAGCCCGCCCCATGGCCGCTAAACCCAGCGGACGGGGCTTTGGCGTCTCGCAGTTGCACATCTCGACAAGTTTTGCCTGAATAATTTCATGCTTGGACATGGCGTGCCGGCGTCACTACATGGACCAAATCCACAACAGTGACCGATCAGAACTTACCTTTTGCCGTCTTGTCGACGGATGAGTCCCCGAGCTATGTATGACCAAAGCTGCAATGATGCAATTGCCAGGCAACATTGCTTCTGCTTCGGTCATCGGTCCTCGAAACCCGTAGCTCGTGTTGTTGAAAGACATCGGAGTACCTCAGCGTAGTACAGCAATCGTCCCCAATCATTGTTACCAGTACCGAGCTCATTCGCGATCTGAGACAGCCGTATTGATCCATCTACGTACCCTGGGAAGCAGCCGCATCTCTCAGCCCAGAGCCTGTTCAAGGAATGTTCGTTGACTAAGACAGCTCAGGTGACAGGGCTCAGGGCTTTACGATTGTCGAATAAGCCCAAGCTCTACCGTAACAAGCCTTACTTGGGGTGTTACATGGTCTTCGATGTGGTGAGAGTATGGCGTCTCACACTCGTGCCTTGCATTGATGAGCTGGAGTTTGTGCCCGCCCGTGTCTATAGAAGGCACAGGAGAAGCAAGCATAGCCGAGAATGACGGGTTTTTGATCTATAGGTAGAGAAACAGAGACAGTTTCTGGAGTGTTCGACTGAATGACAGACAGCCAGCAAGCTCGTACAAAAAACAGTATTTGGATGTAAAGCCAAACATGTTGTGGGGCGGTGGTCTATAATCTATAATGTCTGGATGCTTTGACGAGAGTGGATTCCCCTTGCTGGGCATTGTGATCTGCTGAACGTCCAAGAGACCTGTCAGGTATGACAACGTCAAAAGTGTTGGTAGGAGCGTAGGGATATCGCCGGCAAGCGATGCCATGGCAAAAGAGATGGGGTAGGCACGGAGATCTCATCCAGAGCGACGCCGTGGTAGCTCAACAGCGGGAGACAGATCCTCTCCGCCGACCCACGGCCATCGGTACAATTCGGTCAGAATAACGTCGCTCATGCGTAGACAGTGTTCAGTGCGTGCTCAACTGAGTAGTCCACATTGTCTTCCGTTGCTTGGGGCGGATGCTCCGGTGAAGGACCGTATGTGAGATGAGAGGAAGTTGGTGTTTGCATATCACGAAGTAAAGCATTGAATTCAACGAGGTTCTCTGTCTAGGTAGCTGTCAAACTCGTGTTATGGGGGTATTCCTTTTTCGTGTAATGCCGTGCGATGTATTCCGTATTAAAATTAGGTGAGGCTGTTGCATAGCAGAGTAACGCTGAACGCTTGCCGTCAATGGTAGTGCGCCTCAGTATACCAGTGCTTGTGAGCGTTGCACTGCTGTGATGCGTTTCGCAATCCACCAGTCCTTCCTTATCTCCTTGACCTGCGATCATAATCGTCCCGTCCATACCGATCCCTTTCTTTACCTCGGTCTCGACGGTCATGGCCACGGTCCCGATATCGGTTTCTATCATGATCTCTATCGCGCCGGTCGCCTTGACGGTCATCTCGTGGTTTGCGATATCGATCCCGGCTTCGATCTCTTGGCCGTGGACTCCGACTCCGGCTTCGTCGACGTGATGGCCCTTCATTATCATGGGGTCTTGGAGGAGGTACATCATCCTTCTCCTGGTTCTGTCCACTGCGCCCCAATCTACCTTTCATGTCCTCTTCGCCGTGAACCATTCTATAATTACCACCCGTAATCTTTTCTCCCTCATCCCGGTATTGTCGGCGCTTTTCGAGCTCATCGACACCTCCCCATCCACCTCGATGAGCAGTCGCCCTTCGCTTGGTATTGGTATCCTTTCGCCACACATCGCTTAGTTTGCTGACACTCTGAGAGAAGTCCACATGAATGCGGCGATCGTCGATGAGAACGTCCTGCATCTTAAAATAGGCTGCCTCGCATGACGCCTTGTCTTCGAATTCGATGAATGCATATTGTAAACTGTCGCCAGTCTTTTGGTCTCTAATAACTTCGCAACTCAAAATCTTGCCGAAACGGCCAAAGATGAGCTCCAGATCTTCGTCGCCAGTCACGGGGTTCAGTTTGCAGACGAATAAAACGTTCTCGGGAGGTTTCACCTCTGCAAATGGCAAATCTCCCATCATTTCCAGAGTGAGAGCTTGCGCCTGTGCCTCGCGATTGCGACGCCTCCTTTCCAGCTCTTCCTCATCGACACCGTCATCTGCGTGTAATGCTGCCTCATCTTCGATTCGAACAGTCTTCAACTGCTGGGCGGTCGGAGGGGGACTCGAGCTCGGCTCCCTCAAGCCAGGCGGGTCAGGGTAGGGATCGTCCAGAATAACCGTATGCTTGATTCGAATGTCAATAAGTGGGTAGCCCTTCTCGTCCACAATCGCCTCATTGATCTTGTCCAGCACTTCGAAGCCTTCGACGACCTTTCCAAAGACCGCTGCCCTTCCATCCAAATAGTCCGTGTCTTCGCCTAATGTGACAATGAACTGAGATCCAGCCACACGTGTATCAGGATCGGACTGAAGGGGCGCCGTAGCCATGCTGACTGTTCCTCGCTCCAAATGTTTCAACTTTGGGTGGAAGAAGGCTGGGAATGTTCGTTTCGCCGGGTCGCCGGATAGGTGACCCCATATTGAAGAGCCGCCATCGGATTCTTTGGAAAGAGGGCCGAGAGGATCGCCAGTTTGGAAAGAGAAGTTCTTCTGGACAGAATGGACAGGTGAGAAGTTATAGTATTTGACCTTGCAGAGCTTTAGAAAGCTATATTATCTGTTAGTTCAGCGACTCGGTGGTAGTAGTAAGGTGGCATTGGGACGACTTACTTTTCGCAAAGTTTGGGTGCATGGTCGACCAGAAGATCGATGACAATGTCGCCTTCACTGGTCTCCAAAAGAACTGACATGATAATTGATGGTATCTCCTCTTTTACGCGATGCCTAATCAATGGAATGAATGCGAAAAGAGGTTGTGAAGAGAAGGTCGCGTTCTCCCAAGAATAGATGGAAGGTTGTATGAGGTAGCTGCTCCAGCCACTCACTGTCGCGAAGCTTTCGAGAAGGAGCCATTTTGGGAGCGTTCCGGAAGGCGCCACAGGTGGCGGTGATCAAATTACATAATCACACGATGACTTCAAGTTCACCAGAACAGCATCTCATTGCCGGCATGCCATGTCTATTCGTGACGAGCATACGAGACCAGTTTTCTCAAATTTTTATATCACTGATCTTTCCATATTTTGCTCACGGACTGGCCTCCAACGTCTCGCATCTCGGTTCAACGATGCTCAGTCTTACATCAGAATATCCCACTTAGACCTTCCTAACTTACTGGGCAATTGCATTTTGGCCTACTCTCTTTAGCTGAACGTTTCCTTCGTGAGATTCTCACATAGTCCCCTCGACCAGTAAGTATACTATACCGTGCGCCTTTCACAGGGTCAAAGAACTCCCAACAGTCAACAATCTTCAAGTCTAGCAGGCTCAACTACCGATACTCTACCTATCATGTGGATCAAACGACAAGAAAACGGCTGTCAGCTTTAATTCCCATCCTTGTTTTACCCAACCCACAAGGACCGCTAAAAATGACGTTTTAGCAAGAACCCTTATCCTTTAAACAAAAATGATTTCGTCCCGTTCTGACGATATGTAGAACGAAGTGCCAAGGGGGCGTATACTGTAGATGGAGCAAAATGTCCGGATCGCCGACTGTCAAACCCCATGACCAGCAAGGATTCCTGTTTCCAGGTGAGACTCTTTGTTTCTGGAAGGTGAAGCTATCCCGATCTCGATGTTCCCGCACACATTGACCTGTTTACGTCATACCATGTCAAGGCTCCGCGTTTGACAGTCCGGGATGAAGCATCATATGTGCCCTATCAGATATGTGATAAGAAATGTCTTGGCTGTTTGAAGAAACACCGTTGGAGGAGCGTTGTCGTTTCGCTGTGATGATCGACAACGGATTCCCATCGGTGATCTGAGGTGACGTCTCGGTGAACCGCATAGAAAGTCATCCACGGGAGCGCTAGGGTAGACTTCCCGGTACATACGTCTTTCGAGGCTCAAAGTGGATTGTGAGGGATCATGATTATCCTGCTTGATGTAAGACGGGAATGACATGGTTTCCCCATAATGATGACCCTGCTTCGCCTTCAGCAATGACTGTTCACCCGGAGCAACTGCTCAACCATCTGTCAAAGCTCAAAGGTTGTTCTTTATCCAGTGATGTAACAATCACTAGAACCAAACCGCCCAGGCCACCCTACAGCATCATAGCATCCGCTTCGCCTTCAGCTTGTGCGGTGCTGTAATATATCGAAAAACCTGCTTGTCCATTAACGTCACAGTCCCTGACGGTCATGCTACAGTACCACACAACTCACCTACACTCAACATCATTCACCCCTCGCTGTGCACAACCTTCGTCGATCCTCAGGCCCAGACCACATCAGCGGTGTACGCAGTGGCGAAAAAACTTGAACTCCCCGATCGTGATCGATTAAGCCCAAGCGCACTGGTAGCTCATATCAGAGACATTCTTAGCGCAGAACTCGTTATCGCAAAAGAAGCGCCCGGGCGCTTAATTAGTTAAACAATTCTTGGGTTAGCGAGTGTGCAAGAGATGATCTTCATTTCCCCCAACGGGTTTTTGATGCAGCAGAGGGGGAGGTCTCAAAAGGACGATCTTTGTGGGTAAGACGCGTGTTTTTCTCGCTATCTATTTTTCGCAATTCCAATAACAGCGAGCGGGGCCGGCCGGGCATGCATTTGGGGGAGAGGGAGAAGTTCGGGGTAGACAAGTGTAATTGGATGTTTTGCATGTTGGGGTCATAACATTCTTGGAGTTTTATGTGGTAGACCGGGTGATGATAGCCGGGAATGCATTCACGTTGCATAGATGGAAACTTGAATTGATAAGGTTGTTTTGCGAGATTGCATTCATTTGCACTGTTTGATGCTATCGCTAACAAAAGACCAACTCCTCCTCGGGAGATCTTCATGATGGTAATAAACTTGTGGCGTTTTTTCATGCCTCCGAGATCCAGCGTGGCTTTCGCAAGAATGTAAATGAAAGGTTAAAAATAAGAAAGCCACAGGGAGCGGATCCCTCGATATGCAGGTTGGTTCTGTAGAACCTAAGAATGAAGTAATAGACAAGAAGCGAATATTGTCAAAGACGAAATAACCCCCCAAAAAATGTCGCTTTTTTCGCAAAGCATGCTGTAGTATTTCCGTAGTCCGATGTTTGCCCAGAATGTGTAAGAATATGAGCTTTTCCCTTCTCTTCCCAGCTCGAGTTGAGACCGTAAACGCCTTCGCCAATGCAGATAAAAAGACAAAAGAGAGGGTATTAGAATTAATGCCAAGTTTTGTTGTGTTGGAGGAGGCGTATTGTATGTTCGCCACCGCTTAAGTCAACCATTGACATTGCGTGAGTATGTGTCGGCATGATGTGATGGCGAAAAGTATACGAGTAAATTATTCAATTTTACTCGTTTCCAGAGCTTCGTCGCCTTCGTCCGCTACGAAGCTCCTTCTCAGTCTCCATGAGTCTCGTCTGCACCCATGTTCTAAACGCCCGATCGGCGCGAACACTACTGCAGTTGAGAAGCTCTGTCAAAGTGCGCTTGATGCTCTCGTTGACCTCCGAGAGACGCTGCTCTTCTGCTGAAATCTCGTAGATGGTCTCCTCATCTGGAATCGTAGTGAGTTCATTGCGGTCTTCCCAGCCGCTGCAGCGGGCGTGGGAGCGCGAGTGGTGTCGTCCGCTCCGGGAGTGGCGCTTCGGTGAGGGCGGGAGCGAGAGGGATGAGGAGGATGATCGGGTTGGCGATGTAGATGGTGAGGAATTGTGGGAACAGCTTGACATGTTGAACTCGGGTCGGATCTGGTCGAGGCGATCGCATAGTTCTTGGTGTTGCTCTGTCAGAAGCATGTACTTCTGAAGAGCAAGGGTATATGATTGTGCGCCGGTGGAGGCCATCTTTGATGCTGGACTTGTTGAATATGAAGCTGGTGTGCTACTGATGCTCGATACTGATGTTGATCGGTTGTGCCCGGAGAAGAAATGGGGTCTCACGTCTAATGACGAGACCATCGAAGCGATTATGTAGTAACTGGGAGGAGGATGTATAAGATGGGGTCGCGGTTATAGTGTCGTCGCGAACACTGAGAGTCGAGTCGTCCAGTGTATAAATATTCTTGTGACCTTTTGCCGGTGCAGTGTATCGTAAATGCAAGCTGCAATGTAAGATGTAGGTACTAGGTGTCGATCGTCGGATAATACGTTGTGGTTGCTCCAGGCTGAAGGGGGCCAATCTCAAGGTTGTACAGAAAACGTGTGGGTGGTGATATGATAGGATCTTGGAACGTCCACGATACACAAGCAGTCAACTGACTATATGTGAGGGTAAGATGTATGAGTATGAGGGATCAAGAATTGATGTGACGGGGGTGCTCGGTATAGTTATACTGAAGCTTGTCGATGGATGATAAGAAGTAGTATGATGCTCATGTTATGGGGGGAGCAGGGTGGTTCATTAATAAAGATATGGATTGGCACTCCCGCTAGAATAGCTAACTACGCTACGGTCGATGCGGTATGTAACTTACGGGAGGGGTCAGCAAATAGATTGAAACTGGACTGAACTGATTGAATTTGACTGAAGCTTGTAGGGGTATGTTAGAGTAGGGGTGAGTCTCAAATGTACCAAGTACGAGATCCAGGTACGCCAGTCCCCAAGCCTTGGAATGGGAAATGAAGGGGAATCTCCAGGTCTGAACCAACGAGTCAGCACCAGGAACCGCCATGTCTGGAAGTAGAAAATACAACCATCATCCCCCCTGTCCAACCATTTAGAGCCCTTGTCCACTGCAAGTCTAGCTCTCACACTCTGTTTTTTCTTCTCTCTCTATCGCCTTGCTTGTTCATTATGAGTTAACAAACTTGCACTCACTGAAGCTAGCCCGAAGCCACGGGGAGGGGGGCGCCGGCCCCCTCCTATTGGGACACCTGGGAAATCAAGACGAGAAGCAGAACAGGGATTGACAGAAGATCCTGGGCATCAAGCTTTGGTTGTGGATCCGCTGGCGATGTGACGGGATGCGCTGCGATTATGATGTGTGCGCGGTGGGTGGTGTGAAGCCCTTTTTTTAGACTGGCCTACTGTACTCAGGTTTGGCACAGTGCTATTCCCAGTTTCTGTCCCGAGGCTCTTGGACAGAATGGAAGGGTCTGATAAGTTCTCACCGGGTTCCTTGGGTTGGGTTACTTTGGTGAGTTGTCGTTGACAACGTTAATCGCCGTGTGGCTCTCTCGCGCCATCATCCACCTCAATGAGCATGATTTCAGAGGTTGATATCGAGACATTTGATGTCTTGCTACTCCCCAAAACGGCTGGTTGCTTATAAACTCACCCAACTAGCAACTAACCGATGTTCCGGGACATGAGACAGCGACGTTTTTCTTATTCATGGGTTTCCGATTCAGACTCGATCTAGAGCTCTTTTTCTTGCTTGACGTTACTGTAGATATATCATAGCGTACGTGGAAAGTGGATTGATTCCCCATTGATATGGAGACGCAAACTCGTTCGTCTCTGCCGGGCATGGATTTCACGATGCTGCCAGTATGCTTCCCCGGCTGAACCCGCTAGAGTTGGCAAAGAAGCTTAGGACCCAGAGCTTAAGGGATAGAAATAGTCAAGTAAATTAGCTTAAATTTAAGAGACTCTTTGCTAGGTTTATTTTAGCACTCTAATTGCAGCCCTAAAGACGTTCTTACTCCTTGGATCAGACCCGGTCCGGAGTTTGAGCGAGAGATAGCTGATATTGAAGCACGATGCAGTGTTTGCATGCTTACTGCACACTATACGAATATTGATTGCTTGGCGGTGATATCTCGTCCAATAAAGTACAACACCGAAGCTGTCAATTCCCCCTCACTCATCCTCATGCGATTGATAGCGATTCTACAAGCAGCAATTCTTATGTAAAATAACTCGTCCAATTCCTGTGCCGAGGACTCTGTGGCGCCGGGGATAGTAAGTGGTGCCCGTGCCATG